AATGAAGAACAATAGTTGTATTAATACCACATATATTCACAGCTACGATTTTCTAGGCAATGTATTTGCTAACCCTCCGCTTCCATAACCAACGAGTCTTACATGGATGCCAAAAGCCTTCGAGATCATCGTGTTTCCTTTACCTTCTCTTGGCTTACTCTCTACATTTCCTTTCGCACAACTTCTTCTGCCTCTCGGCGCTCCAACAAAAGCCAATACACCACCACTTTTTTTTTTTAACAGATATGGAGCTCGTAAAGGTCAAATCAGCTGTTTAACTAAAAACACAGGCAGTACCTTGAGATAATACATATCTCACAAATCAATAATTTAAACCTTTCCATATAGTGTTCTTGTCCTATAGTTAGTGGCACCATGACGCTATTCATAATTAGTAAATAACTAAATCTGGAGAGATGACAGATACTGAACAGATACTGAGATAATTACATATTGATCGAGGGCCACAAAATAGGAAAGGTTGAGAATCACTGGTTTAGATCTATAGAGAGAGGAGAGCATCTGACAACAAAGAAACAAACAAACAAAAAAACGCTTAGATAAAGGGATAGTCATAATTTGCCAAATTGCCGTAAAAAGGAAAATAAAAACAGAAAACGGAAACATTGCAATAGTTCGATACATATACGACAGCAAGAAATTAAAGCCTATAATTGAGTAGTCTTTGCCTTGAAAGTTGTTGGCAATTCGCAAAGTTAACCTTAATTCCTCGTGTAGTTTCTTTAATTTATGAGTAATTATATATAGCGTGTCTAGTATGCATGAAAACAAGCAAACGCGAGATAAGAAACAAAAAAACTAAAATAAAAATAAATAAGTAAAAAAAAAAAAAAAATGAAATAAAAATAACGGATAACAGAATTAAAGTGGATTTATTTTATTTATTTTATTTTTTTTGTCAGTATAATCATATCATATCATAGTCAGTTATCTACAGAAAGATAGTACCGCCTTTATCAATATCTAACATATACAATGTAATACATATATTGTTTGAAATAATTGAAATAACAGAAATAACAACGATGTTTTGCTAGAATAAAATGACGTTTTAGCAATGACAATTTTAGATTAATAGTAACAATAGTAACACATGTGGTCGCATATATTACAAAACTTATATTAATCATTGTAATTAATCATCTATTATAGACACCGAATAGATAAATATGAGGTAAAAATCACATCTGTAACGAAGAGTAGCATTTAGGTTAACTCTGTCGTGCCTTTACTTTTACTGAAATAGGTTGAATTATGTGAAATATTTACACAGTAATCGCGTTTCTGATAAAAAAATTTCCTTTAACATAGAATAAAATCCTTTAACATAGATTTGGAATTCAAGAATGACCAAAGAGAATGTTTGTAAAAGTATAATAAAAAGACAAGCGCTACCTCTGCCTCACGCCTTCATATATTTTGATAGCGTTGGGACCTTTTCGTACTCGTACAGACGTAGTTTGTAATTTCCCTTGTTTTGTTCTGATGGCAGAAAATATCAGTGCTAATCCCAGTTCAAGTAACGACTCGCACCTTTGAATTTAAAAGCGATCTTGAACGCGATGATTTTTGGCGGGAAATCTTAAGCCGGATTCTCGCGAACGGTTTGGTCGTGACGTCATGCTCTCGCAGCTGAGCGGCCTAAACTTCTTCAACAACAAAAATCAAGGCGTATCTTATGACGGGGGGCCTTCTTTGTCTAATTGCTTTATTTTCTCACAATTAAAGATGATAATCTATACTCACCAATGCTAGAATTCATGGGTGTGACCAAAACAAAACGCCATGATGACGTCACGGCCCCAGGTAGGCCCAGGACCCCCGCAAATCAGCTGAGTCTGACACCTTCGGCATCCGTTCGACCATTCGACTCTGGGTTCGGGGAACATCCAGACTTCTCGGCCGCAAAAGGGCGATGGCTGAGGACGCGAAGCAACTGTTTTCGGCGGAGGAATGGCGCTCCCTCCCGGAGATCGAGAAGAACCGCTTCGAGAATGTCCTGAGGAACTACAAAGCGATGAAAGACTTCGGTGAGTCGCGTCGCTTCGAATATCCGTTTTACTCTCGGATTATTTTCTGAAGCGAGGCCGTAGGGATGTCAGTTCTTAAAAAAAAAAAAAATAAATAAATAAATAAATAAATAAAGGCATCCGCTGAAAAGGAAATTCATTGTTAAAACAAAGAAAAGCGGCTGAGACGGAAACCATTGGGGGTAATTTTCTACATTACGTCCGCATAACCGATAAGGACGATTTTGGTATCGTTGGATTCCTCTCACTCTATACAATGCAAATATGTAAGTTTTATTGCGCGGAAACCCCCCCGTTAGCGGCAAACTTGGCCCCTGATAGCAAGGAGGCATGGAAGGCTCCAGGGAAAATGCGGGGTTAAATAACACTATAAATATACGCACAGTGAAACTAACCATGGTACCAGGGGGGGGGGGTCGGTACCTGGCTCGGTGCATACCAAAATCGTCGATATCGGTTAGGCGGACGTAATATAGAAAATTACCCTGTACAGTTATGCTCATTCACTTCGCATAACATCATATCCCTAATAAATCCTTAATTCCTCTTCCAAATAACGGTATTGCCTCTACTGTGCTTATTTTATCTATTCTTGCTAATATCTAATCACCAACACTATGAGAAACAATTATAATGATCCATAAAAACTAAATTACAAAATTATAATGATCCATAAAAGCTAAATTACATGCAAATCAGGTAAACTGTTCTGTTTGTGTATAATCAGTAATCATGAAATGATTGGAACTCATAGTTCAGGTTAACTCTATCTGCTCTTCTAAAGGCCATGATGGTCCTCTGCTTACAAAAGTTCGCTGAAAACCGATACACTATATAATTACCCGCCCTGGCAACTCGACCATGATTATTGCATCACTAATATAGTTATTGATAAGTGTATACGGTCATCATATTGCTTTAAAATCAGAGACTATCTACGAAAGACCGGAAAGTCGAGCAAAATCGTGTGAGTAATGCGGCGTCGGCGCAATAGATGGCGTTAGTGAGCATCTCGTGACGTCATCTCATACCCGTCTGTTTGTTTACATAGAAGTGCGAATATTGTTTATGACAGTTCAGACATTGCCAGGAAAGGGAAAGGTTTGTAATATTTGCTTTTTTAAATATAACCTAAGATATGTGACGTTCAGCTTGACATTAGCAAGATATAAATTGGATCACAAGAAATTATTTTGATTGGTAAAGGTTTCAAGTTATGACGCCCGTCTAAAAAAAAGTAGAGGCCCAAAATCTACTTAATAATAGTGCAAGCTTTAAGCTACAATTTGACGTAAGCTGACGATAGATTTGACATCAATAGAGTGAAAAAACTGTGTCAGGTTGATTTTGAGTTAGATTATAGTTATCACCAAAATCAGCATATATATTGATTGAGCAATGATCATAACTTGGTAGATTTGTATAGTAGGAACAAACAGAAATATAGAAAAAGTAAAATAAGTTTAAATGTTAACAGGACGACGTGTGGCCTGTTTCGAGCTCCTAGCCAGAGTATACAAGGTGTAGCAAAATAGCAGATGCATTCCGGGCAGCTCCTAGGAAAGGGGGTTAGGGGAGTCACCTAATCAAACATAGAATGAGGAAATTAATCCCAAAATCATGCGGTCGCAATGCGAAGAATTGAAATATAAATGTGTATTTCAGGCTATTTATTTGTAAAGGTTTTATTATTCTAATAAAGATATTGTAATAATTTTCTATGTATTGATGCATGTTTGGCAATATAATCATACATTATATGTCACTAATGTTATGTGATTGTAGGCCTATAAGTTCATTGTGCCACGTGGTTTAATGCGTCCTGTATATGGCATGTTGTATACGCCGTATGTATGCCGTGCATGTATGAACTACCAATTTACAGTTGTTAACCAGCCTTTAATTGCCGAATGGGTAGTTTCGGGCTGGGAGGGGCGAAGGAATTATATGAAGAAAATAAATGCTACTACAAAGTCATGATACGATATGAAATATATATATACATATAAATTTATTAGTAAATAAGCTATTCGCAACCCCCTCTGAATAAGTCTGAACTGATCAAGAACATAAGTCGGACGTTTAGTTGGGCGTCGAGTCAACAGATGGCGCTGGTGGACGACCGGGGAGCTCACATTTTTTAGAATGCGTTAGATAGCATGTTTCCTGTCTTTCGTATACAGTCTTTGTTTAAATTAACGTAATATGTATGAGAATGTTCGTGTGATTCCCGGGACCTCATTCCGATAGCGCCATGTTTGTTTACACGACTTTCTTACGGAGTTCATTCGGAAACGCAAAAAAAAATGACGGAAAATTGATAGTGTGATAAGGCCTTAATAGCTACAGGGGAATAAAATAGCCGCGTGCAAAATTTGCATGGACTCAACCCCTCCCCCCCCCCCCCGCGATGCCCTTTACGAGCTCCATATCTGTAGAAAAAAGTGATGGTGTATTGGCTTTTGCTGGAGCGCCGAGAGGCAGAAGAAGTTGTGCGAAAGGAAATGTAGAGAGTAAGCCAAGAGAAGGTAAAGGAAACACGATGATCTCGAAGGCTTTTAGCATCCATGTAAGACTCGTTGGTTATGGAAGCGGAGGGTTAGCAAATACATTGCCTAGAAAATCGTAGCTGTGAATATATGTGGTATTTATACAACTATTGTTCATTCATATGCACACATATACCCCCTTTCCCACACAAAATCTTATGCGAAGACATCTAGATATACATCTGAAACGCCCGCATGCGCCTGTGCAAAATGCAGACTCCTAAACAAAGTCATTTAGATTCCTCCAGTTTCAAATATTATAATCATGGTTTTACCAAAATGCTTCACTGGATCCTAGGATGGCCTTCATCACCGGCTCATACACATTTCCTCTCCAAAGTCTCTTAAACAACTGCGGCGCACTTTCAGGACTGGACCCCAAGCTCCCGGAGTTCTGCGACAACAGAGGAAGCGACGCAACGGGCTCGTCGCGCCCACAGCCAGGCCACCTCGAGTCCCCGACGACGAGGGAAACGACGAGTGGACGCCCGAGAAGGAGAGATCTAGCAGGTAGGGCGATGATTCCACTGGGCATAGGGAATGAGACGCGTGCACAGTCATTTTTGGAAGCTTTTATAATGGAGATTATTAATTGTTGTTGCAGGCATGCAAGCAAAAGTGGAAGCGTGGGCGGTGGAAGAAATGGCGGTCATAAGAGGAAGGCAGAGTGGAGTGCTCCAGCTTGGACCGGTAGGAGGGAGAACTACGATGATGCGCCGCTCAGTGTAGACCAAGTAGATATTATACCGTTATGGACTCCAGCCAAGTTGGTGGCAGGTGCAAAGGGCGCTGTCAAGGTTTGTCTTCTTACCTTTGTCTCTGTGTTTGTGTGATGCACTTTTCCCTTCTTTATCCAGATTCCGTGTCCGCTTCTGTGTCTGTCTGGACATAGAAATAAAGGGACCCTGGGCCCGTATCCACAATGACAATTTTGAGTCAAAGCGTTCTAAGCAGGGGAGCGCTTGGGCAAGAATTCTTGCTGATAGGCCAAGCGCTGTACCGTTCCCTGCTTAAAACGCTTTCCAAGGCAGGCAGGCCCTCTTCAGTGATGCCAGACACGTGAAAGTGTCTTTTTTATAAAGTACAAAGCATAACAGTCCTTGGTGACCATAGAAATATCAAAATAACACACAAAATATACATATTTGGGTTTTAAAAGCAATATTCCCACCAACAATCTCGGAAAGAGATAACCTATGCACAAGTCGAGGGTGGAGTTTATTTCACTGGCGGTTGGTAACAGTTTGAGCGCGCAATTCAAAATAACTGACAAGCTAGCGCCGCATCAAGATGGCAGAGTAAATCTACCCAAACATCTTGACAAAGCGCAATATTTTCTATATTCATATAAAGTGCCTCTAAAACAATGACACACACTCCGATTGACAGTCCTTTCATTCTGGCGCGTTATCAAAACAAATGAATATCCCTGAATTAAAATATAGGCCTACCCATTCCCATCTATCCGATTTTATGAGGTTAAACATATAACAAATCATGGAATACAATATCAAGAATGTTGCTAGAATTTCTCAGACTTTTTTCACTTGAAATATTCTTTATTTCATAGAATACCAGATATATTCTCGATTTAGAGAGACGAGAAGTTTAACAATAAGAGGTAAATTGTTTGTCTTATAATAATTTATTATTTATAAGTTAAACACTTTTTATTCCCATAATCTCCATTATCTCCTTTCGTTTTCAGTTAATTTTAATTTCTTTAAATATGATTTTAAGAAAATTACAGAATCAGATACCGTGAAAAAATTATTTATCTGATAGGATATTAAGCGGAGTTCCTGGCCAACGCCCGCATTCGAAGGATCGTGACCAGTACGGTACGCGACCGACGCTGTTGCCATGGTGACGGTACACCGCTTGACTTAGCAAGCGCAAGTCTAGCCATCTACGGAGGTCGCTTGAGAAAGCAAGCGAAATGCTTGAGTTAGCAAGAAAAACGCTTGAGATTTCGGGCAAGAACTTTCCCTGCTTAAAACGCCTTTAGTCTCAGAATTGTCTGAGACCTTTCGTGGATACGGCCCTGGAACATAAAGGCGTTTTAAGCAGGGAAAGTTCTGGCCTGAAATCTCAAGCGTTTTTCTTGCTAGCTCAAGCATTTCGCCTGCTTTCTCAAGCGATCTCCGTAGATGGCTAGACTTGCGCTTGCTAAGTCAAGCGGTTGCCGTGTACAATATCGAATACAATATCAATATGTTGCTAGAATTCCTCAGACTTTTTTTCATTTGAAATATTCTTTATTTCATAGAATAGCAGATATATTCTCGATTTAGAGAGACGAGGAGTAACAGTTCAGTAAGAGGTAAATTGTATTGTATTCGATGATTTGTTATATTTAACCTCATAAAATCGGATATATGGGAATGGGTAGGCCTATATTTTAATTCAGGGATATTCATTTGTTTTGATAACGCGCCAGAATGAAAGGACTGTCAATCGGAAGTGTGTCATTGTTTTTAGAGGCACTTTATATGAAAATAGAAAATATTGCGCTTTCAAGATGTTTGGGTAGATTTACTCTGCCATCTTGATGCGGCGCTAGTTTGTCAGTTGTTTTGAATTGCGCGCTCAAACTGTTACCAACCGCCAATGGAATAAACTCCACTCTTGATTTATGCATTAGTTATCTCTTTCCGGGTTTGTTGGTGGGAATACTTGTCTATTGCTTTTAAAACCCAAGTATGTGTATGCTGTGTGTTATTTTAACATTTCTATGCTCTCCAATGACTGTTATGATCTGTACTTTATAGAAAGACACTTCCACATGTCTGGCATCACTGAACA